ACAATTCTAATAGTATTAGGGAAAAGTTACACGCACAATATTTATCGTATAATATTGTGCATAATATGATTTGATATTGTTTATACTTAATTTTACAATAAATAGAGTGCTGTCAGTGTTATTCATGTTGGTAGATATTTTATTGGTTGAAAGTTGATATAAATTTTTTCAGATAAGATTGAGTGGTTATTTCTACAATGACAGCAAAACTATTCGCTTGTTGCAAACTTTAAGGAGGATTATCAGCAACACCAACAGATAAATTGATTTGTTTCAAATTTCACGCTACCGTTGGTTTTTTGGATGCTACTGCAGATTTTCACCATACTGTCAAGGTGCTATAAATACCCAATGATAAGATCAAGCAAAGGATCGACTTCTCACATAGCAAACTCATCACAATTTCTCTTTATATTCAGATTCATCTTAATTTCAAACCCTTTAATTTAATTTCAGTTCTACGCTTCAATTTAAATTAGTTTAGTAATTCAACTCTTCTTTTATTGGATTTGTAATGATAAGTTTTTGCCTTTAATAATATTTTTTTGTGATCGGATTGCTTCTTTTCCTTTTCTATTTTTCAAGTTTCCTTTAATTAAATCAAATGATATCGACATTTAATTTTATGTTCAATTTTATTTCTGTTAATTTATATTTCATACTGCTAGTAAATTTTCCATGTTTTCAGTTGTATTTATTTTAATTTAATTTACTTTTACTGCAATTAAATTTCCTTTTAAAGCTCTGTTTCCACCCAATTTGCGCATTTAAAGTTCATTTAGATTTTCATTAGTTTAGCGATAATTTATTTTTCTTGCAGTCTTAACTTTTCTTGATTACATTAGCTTTGAGGAGTCCTTGGAATCATATTCAGGATATTTTGCTGTATAACTTATTTAGTGCAAGAAGTTCATCCATCGTTTTTGCCAATCGTCTGATCTTTAAAACACAATTTACGACATTCTTTCATCAATTCACAAGTTGAGTTCCACGCTTGGAAAAAAGAGACGGTCGTCGGAGAAATCTTTCTTATTTTGAGTAAAGCAAGTGGCACGCCATTTTAACTGCCACGTGTTAATGAGATTTTTTGGAATATCAAATATATATAGTTAATTGTTTTTATTCAAAGTTAATTTATGATATATTTTATATATTTATTTATTTT